ATCGCACACTGTATAAGGATAAGATCAAAATTCTGAAATTCTGAGATTCTGGCACTTTATATAAGAGTGGCTATCGACCACTGTATAAGGATAAGTTTAAAATACTGAAATTCTAACATTTCCTACATCACAGAATGCGGAACTAGTAGAAAAACCTGATCTAAACTATGGTTTCGTAGGGAGTTTTCCAGCGATCCACTAATATATCCTATGTAATGTTTTTTGACTGGATCTGTATTCTATGATCAATCATTCTCTGAAAATTTCAGTCGTTTTGGACAAGAGATGAGTGAAATATAGGGCTTTTTATTTTTGACGGTAACAGGCGAAAAACCCCCAAAATGGCTTTTCTGGAGTTATAGTTGAGTGCAGAACGAAACGAACATCGCCAACTATTTAATAGTCGATTTTGCCCATTCGCTTTGAGACACTTGCTGTTAAAGCATTACAAATTTATCTTGCTTCCTGAAAAATATAGAATACACTAGAACCAGAATGACTTATATGATTCAACTCAACCAGACAGCAATTTTCAGTTTTCGTATCAGTTTACTACAACCCATGGTTAACCTGACGATCTTTTCTAAAAATACCGTCAATGATGAATTTGTTGAAGACACTAGTACACTGATAACATTGGACCATCAGAATTCTCATTCTTTTCATTTATTTGAATATCATTATTTTTTAGAATTAGATAAAGGATGGAATGTATGTACAACAAAAAGCTTTATAGAACCATCCGTAACTGATTGACTACTTTTGTGTGAATCGACTTTTGTTGCTTTCGACTGATATGCCCTCTGATGCCCTCAGATACTGATCAACATAGATCAGGTGTTTTCTTTTCTTTTTAGTTATGTTTTTATTATTATCCTATTATTATGTCATATTCGTCAATTCAACGGCATCATTAACAAAAGCAACATCTGTTAAATCTGATAGCCACAAGAAAACGAAGGAAAAACAACCAAACTTTGTTAATAAAAATAGAACACCAGCGAAAATTACATCAAAACCATCCTCACCTAATAATCATCAATCAGAACGAAATAAAAATCTAAAACATTGTCAGTTCTGATAGGAACTAGCTTGAATACATTATGTAAATGAGTCATGAATTAGATGAAATAATCGCTCAATTACACTATTAACAATAGGGTCAAATAAAAACATTAGTACGAAGTTACACAGGCACACTAATACAATTCTATTTCATCCATATCTAGTAAAATACCTCAGATATGCTCTGAAATCATCTTGATGCGCCCATTGCCTCTGGTTATCACTGTGCGTTAACGTTAATCTCTTAATACGTTGACATATTGGACGTAATTGTGCATCTTGGAATTCATTTGTTCCACTAGATAATGTTACATAGTCTAACGATAATTCGTTTAAATTTGGTGTTAATAATAACAAACGTTTGAATACGGGAGGTCTACGATAACATCCCATATGGAGTATTTTAATGTTTTTCAAAATTAAATTTTTGTCATTTAGCATATTATCGGCTACAACAGAATATTCACAACACATACGTAATTGGATCCTATACAATCTATTGAAGAACCTGCAATCAGACTTGGCTGGTTGCGTGCAGAAATTATAGAGGAATATGCAGAATTATAGTTGCAGTCTGCAACTATAATTCTGCATACGTCCATTCTACTAACTGCAAGAGAAGAAAAAGTTCCTAAGATGTGGAAATATTCAGACTCGTAAACTAATTCATTTGTGGTGAAAAGTGAAAACACTCTTTTTACCTAATGTTGGACCTAATGGAGCTATGTGTAATTCAGTTAAATTTAAAAATGTTTGATTAATCATATTGAAAAACTCTAATGGAAATGGTTTATAGTCATCATATAAATGTATACGTTGGACATTTGCCCAATTTGTTGACGAATTATTCTAAAAGTATGAGAAAAATGTTGAGTAAAAAGCCATGATAGAAGCATACATCAAAATAAGAGTTTATACGTATACATACACACCTTGAAATTTTGTTGTTGATCATTTAAAAAATTATTTGATACATATGACATTTTATCATAATGAAATGATAATGAATATAAACATAAACGGGAAATATCCCTAAAATGATCTAGATAACATCCAACATGAAACTTTTTATCATTTAACCAAAAATTATTTCTAAATGTTGAAATAATTTGTGTTGAAGTTGTTGTCTCATTCAAAATGTTTGGTATCATTAAACATGTTAGATAAAAATGAAATCGTTTTAAATATTTCATATGAGATAAAAAACTTTTATATAAATAATCACCATCGATCCATGTAGTTCTACGCAAACGAAATGATAAATTTAATGATAAATACTCCAAATGATCTAAAAAACGCAAATATTGTATTGCAATTAGATTGGATTTAGGCATGCATCGATTTCGGTAAAAAAACTAACATCCGTAACACCAATCTTCGATAAACATTGTTATTTATAGATAGTCAAAGACCAAAGGCATTGGCTAACCTCGTGTGCGATCAAGAGAAACTATTGCATAGAACTGCTCCTATACATCGTATCTTCACCTTCAGATCTGGATAACTTTTCTGTTTGTACCTGCAATGTGTCGTAATAACAATTCGATAAACTCATAATTGACTGTTACGCTCATACCGACTAAAACAAAATGCTTCAAATATTTCAATTTGTTATAGAATGATGGTACCAGTCGGTCATCACCGTTTTCGTAGATATTTACACTCAGATAATTGACTAATGGTAAACTATTCAATAAATAAATTAAATCAGCATAATGATGTAAACTGATTGTTAATTTTTGAATTGATGATATTTGTTCGGACAACGGTAATATTTCAAACACAACATTGTCGACACTTATATAAGGAAATAAACATGTTTTCAATTTTATATTAGCATCAAAAATTAATTCACTGGAAACTAAAAGTACACGGTTGAACGAATAAAGCTCAACAAAAACTCAAAATACAGGATTATATGCTGAAAACAAATTTTGACTTCCATTTCTGCCTTCTTAGTTAGCTTATAAGGAAAGCTTCAAGTGATACTGTTGTTTTATGTTAAAAACTGGTTTTTAATGCATCATTTTTTATCCTGATTTCGAATCTGTCATCTCTTTCAGCAGTTAGGCCTATCCTAGGTGACTCTCTACTAAATACTCTTTTGATTCGAATCTTGGTGCTGGACTTCCGGCGCTTCAGATGCAGCAGAGAGTCACTTAGGATAGGCTTAACTGCTGAAAGAGACGTTAGATTCGAAATCAGGATAAAAAATGATGCATTAAAAACCAGCTTTTAACACAAAACAAGAGTATCACTTGAGACGCTTCCTTCATTAGCTTATTGATTATAGTGTATTTGAAATATTCCCAGGCCGTGAAAAATGAGCCATGAATGACTCATTATGTGCCATATATGGCTCATTTTTAAATCATATCTCTCCCATATTTATCTCATTTATTGTATCATAATGTAGTCATAATTATGTCATTTTTTTATGGGATAAATATCATCTTATTATGGTCATCAAAATATGAGCTTATTATGATCCAGTTTAGATCATTTTTGCCTCATTTTAAGACCATTTTAAGACTATTTATTAGATAAGAAATGCAAAGAAAAAATACGAAACAGCTCATGCAGAGATTCGAACCCTGAACCTGTAGATCAGAAGTCTACGATGCTATCCACTACATCACACGGCTATACAAATATACATGTCTTTGTTCCTTCTGTCTTGGGATTTTCACTTTGAAGTTTAAAAAAAACTAGTAATTTTGATTAATTGGCCTCTAGTTTTTTCCACAAACACTGTAGAGAGTTGAGCCTAGAGACTGATAGATAGTAAACTTAATTTTTGACATTTTTTCACTTCTAGTTCCACCTTGGAAAACACTTCCTTCACGGCGAAAACGGAAAATAAAGTTTAAGAAGGGGTTTTCACCCTGAAGGCAGGGTTTTTGGGGGTCGACGTTGGAGTGAAAAATATCAGAAATTAACTTTACTATCTTTTAGTCGCTAGGCTCAACTCTGTACAGTGTTTGTGAAAAGTGGTAGAAGATAAATGCGCATAATTCCATAAAAAGTGCTACTTTCGTTTGTGTCATAATGTCCCATAAATGACTAATCTAATACACATAAATGATATGATCTAATTATGATCATAACATGTGACAAATATAGTTGTAAGAAAATGATGATTTTAGATTAGAAGTTAAAAATGATGTAAAAATGACACATAAATGTCACATCTATGATCTCAGAGATATGATATAAAAATGATACATAAATACATCATTTTTAGATGATCATAATAGGATCATATTTAGATCATTTTTACAAATTATATCATATATACATCATTTTTATCTCATTTTATGAAATGGTCTTAAAATGACTCAA